CTGGAGCCAGTAGAGTCGAGAGCGAGGGATGAACTTGGGCTCCATGGCTGTGCCATAACGGCTGTAGCATATGCACAGAAACGTGCCAAAGAGGAAGGAGAGGGTGAGGAGGACGGATGACACTAGGGTGAAGTAGAAGCACAGAGTCAGACCACCCTCCACCCAGACCTGCTGCATGGAGACCCCCGCTTCACAGTAACTCTTCATCTCCACCATGATGATGATGATGATGATGGACCCACACAAAGAATATCTGGAAAAAACAATATGGTGAGGAAACCTGATCAACTTTTATTTCCCACAACCAAAAAAAAAAAAAATCTATGGTACTGTATGGATTCCATATTCACAAACTATCATGTTTACTCCAAGGTATTTACTATAAGGTACAAAGAATACCACAGTAATGTCATGTGCAAGTGGAAAATGTTGTATTTTCATAGTATATGTGCAAAGAAATAAGTATTACTATGGTACATGCCCAAAAACAGTATACTACCATAGTAAACGTAGAAAGTACTGTCTGTAGTTAAACTATACTAAAACTAAAACCATAAAGAAAAAATTAGGCTATTACTTAATATTAAAAATAGCAACAAGCATTTCCCAATTTTATTTAGTTTAATTTGATGTACTTAAAAAAATTAAAAAAGCCTAAAATGAATAAAAACAATGTAGACATGGTAGACAATGTAGACAAAAAAAAACTAATGAAAAAGAGGAAAACAATTAAAAAAACAATGCCGTCTGAAGTTCTCTTCTAAAATGTGTATTTTTCTCAGGCTCCTATGTGTAGGTTCAGTTATTTCACTTTAATGGCAATGAAAATAACTTATTCAATGCCATTAAAGTGAAATGACTGAACCTTCACATAGAAGCCAAATAAAAATGCTCATTTTAGAAGTAAATTTAAAACGGCACTTAGAGGCTTTTGCATCTGAACTCTTCATATATAAACGACCAACTTACTAATACACCACCATGGTACACTGCATGCATAACATGGTATTACCACGCTACTCTACCATGTCCGAAACTGACAGTTCTTCTTTGTAAGTGTAATTTATTACCATGTATATCAAAGTAACATAGTATTACGATCTGATACCACGCTCATATAAACTTGTGTTAGGCCAATTAGATTATGAACTAACTAACCTGTTTCAAATGTCACTGAGATTCTTCTAGTCTTTCGAGAGCGTGCTTGAATAAGTATCCCCTCAGATGAACGTTAGTGCTGCTAAATCAATTATACGTCTGCGTTTGCTGTATGTCCTTGCAGCCATAAACTCAAACCGTTCAACTCCACCATCTATGAGTTAATGTTACACAATAACACCGGGACAGACCGACGTCACTCCAAAGACGGGAGTTTGGTGATGCTTCGCATGGTCCTAGCGCACTATACCACTCTGCAAAGCGCTGTCATGGGCCGTGTTACTTTTCTCAACGCTAATAAGAATTGTCCAATCACAGTTCGTTGTGATTACTAAATGATCGTTTAAAAAAATAAAAAATTGCGGCTGCAGTGGATTTCCACTGTATGTAAAATACCAAATGTTAGAATTAATTGATTTAAACTATTATACTTTTTTTTTTTTTTTACAACGTAAATGTTTATAGTAAGACAAAAAACGTCCTAAGATTTGAATGGGACTCAATGGAAGATTTGGCTTTCAGAGCAGCCGAGCGCCCCCTAAAGGAATAAACTCATTTTATCTTTCATTTTTTTCTTACACTTTATTTTATTTTATTTTTTTGCTGCAAACTGGTAATTTACCAGCAGAGGGAAGCATTATACAGGCTATGTTCGTCTTCTTCTTACTGAAAGTGTGCCTATACTTACACTACACACTACTACCTTATATTTTTGGTAGTATGTGCAGCAGTATAAATAAAATGCATTTATATTTGGCTGTCTAATCAAATAATGAGTAAGCGACATAATTGCTGACATTACTTTTAGGTTCATTCATCAAGTCATCGCATTGCATTGTCATCCAGATATTAAATGCTGTGAGAACATTCAGAGATTGTGCATAATATACTGTACATACTACTACATACTGTAACAATAGTAAGTGTAGCACAGCAGTGTGCTTTTGCGAACACAGGCTGTGTCTTTGTTTTGCATTGTGCTGAGGGTAGGGTACATTTTTTACTTACTCCATACTTGTGCACACTTGACACGTGGAAAAAAAGAAAGAAAGAAAAACTGCTACTCTGTTTATTTAATTCCTTCACTTGGTTTTGTATGTGCATGTGTGTTTCTAGTTGCATTACACAGGTTCATAAAAAAATAAATAAAATGAATTAATCAACAAAGTTGCGAAATTGCGCAAAATCATAATCAAGACATGAAGGACATGTGAGACTAGGCTTGTGTGTCCTTACTAGAATAAAGAAAAACAAGATATGCTCACACAGAGCATTTTTGAAAGCTGTGGGGAATTATAGAGGATTTTGCGCAGGTATCATGTGTGTGTTTTTTCTTGTTTCTGGTTCCTGTTCTTGTTCAGCACTGGAACATGTTGGGGTACACATTTGTCCTTTGCAGCAGAAGAATGGTAAATATTCTAGAGGTACATGGTAAAGACATTTGTGACCCTGGACCACAAAACCAGTCATAAGGGTCAATTTTTCGAAATTGAGATTTATAGGTCATCTGAAAGCTGAATAAATAAGCTTTCCATTGATGTATGGTTTGTTATGACAGGACAATATTTGGCCGAGAAACAACTAGCCTATTTGAAAATCTGGAATCTGAGAATGTTTAGACTTTTTACTGGAAAACATCACAAAATACAGTCTGAAAAAGTGGATTTAAAAATTTCAGTGTTTGCAGGCACTTTTTACTCTTTTATAACTTTTTTGTAAATTTTTTTTATTGCATTTTACAGCTGTGCATCAATCCATAACGTTAATATACATACATACATATCTATATCAATATTTATCTATCTGCTTGCAGGCACTTTTACTCGTTTATAACTTTTTTTTTTAATAACTCGTTTATTGCATTTTATTGTACAGCTGTGCATCAATCCATAATGTTAATATGCAAACATACATATCTATCTATCTATACACACACACACACACATACAGGGGAACAAAAAAAAGTTATATATTTGCTTGCCTTTATGGCTATTTCAATCAATTTAATGTATTACTTTATTGTCATTTTAATTTCTTTTTAAAACATTTATTTTGCATACAAACATTTTGTGATTTGATATCACCTGGTCTTTAAAAACAGTGACGCAATTTTTTTTTCACAACAACATTTAGTAATTTATCATAACTGCCGTGAATTATAATAATTTCCACATGAGCATTCCCTCTTTACCATCGCCAGCATCTCTTTCTGGGCATTTGGAGGGCAGCAAACTGCAGCACCATAAAACATGTGGTTTATTACTCATTACTGGGTCACTGCGAGTCAATGGATGTGTTTGTAAAACACACAAAAATAACACGACATCAGCCGGCTACAAACACACCATTATACTTCTATGCCCCACTTCATATTAATAAAGCTTCCTATTGCTTTTATGACCATTTTAATTACGTCTATTTGTCTTCCTGTTCCCATGAGCCCTGTGCACGGATGCAGTCCGTTTCAAATGCAAGACATGGACCATAAAACTCAGTCACCAAAATATAAAATTGGATTTGTATGCAAGTGGCTGTGTATTAGTCTCACTGCTCCATGCTCTCTAAAGAGAAAAATAACCAAGCTTGGAACGTAAATAGACATTTTGGAAGCAATCTCAAATCTTTCATTCAGAGGTCAAACAGTCAAACAAGGTTTATATAACCAATTAAAGATCTACATGTGGGATTAAGATATATATATATATATATATATATACACACACACACACACACACACACACACATATATATATATAAAAATACACACACACACACACACACACACACACACATATACATATACATAACACACACACACACACACACACACAGTGTGTATATACAGGTGCATCTCAATAAATTAGAATATCAGGAAAAAGGTCAATATTTTTTGTCACTCATTTCAGAAAGTGAAACTATTAAATGAAACTTATGCTCAACTACTTCAATGTAAAACAGGCATTTTCTATTAGAATAATGTGATTTATTTCTGTGATGCAAAGCTGAATTTTCAACATCTTTACTCCAGTCTTCAGTGCCATATGATCCTTCAGAAATCATGCTTGTTTCCAGGGCGACGCTGATGAAGACTCGGGACGCTCGTCACAATACATAAATATACACAGTACACACACATAATGTAAACAACAACTTATTTTGGATCGCGATTAATTGCTTGACAGCGCACACACACACACACGTATTAAATGAAACTTATGCTCAACTACTTCAATGTAAAACAGGCATTTTCTATTAGAATAATGTGATTTATTTCTGTGATGCAAAGCTGAATTTTCAACATCTTTACTCCAGTCTTCAGTGCCATATGATCCTTCAGAAATCATATCTAATATGCTGATTTGCTGCTCAAGAAACATTTTGTTGTGATCCCTGATATTTTAGATACAGAAATTTTTTAAATAGAAAACTCAAGAATAGCATTTATAAGAAATTATATGTCAGTGACACCTAATTTTTCAACAGTAGCATACAGTCAAACTTAGTTTGATTTCATTGCACACTCAATATTTTCTTAATAAAAAGCATTTGAACAATCTTATCAGCCAGATCTATTCAACTTTTTTGCCCTCTAAAAGCATATAAGCACACTCAGACACGTACACCAGTGTATTTGTGTCACTTTTACAGCAAAGCACTGGAAAAACCATGAGCAGCAAATTGTTACTGTGCTCCAAACCAGTAAACGGTGCTGCATCAGCCCTTTTAAAAGTTGAAGGGTCATTTACTACAAATGGGATCCCCTGAACAGAAACAGGACGCTAATGGGCTTTAACCAACTAACTTCAGGCAACACCAGACCAAAGAAACAAACACATCCATTTAGATAAAACAGCTTTTATCGTCATTCACAAGTTAACACAAGCCGTCTCTGCCGCCTTTGGTAAAACAACGTTCCAAGGATAATGACAAACACAAGTCCAACTGCAACCACCAAACCAGTCATGAGCACCAACTCCTTGGAGAACTCTAGAAAAAAAAAAAAAGATGATAAGAAGGGCTACGACATGGATGCTTGACAGAGACCTACATCTTTGTATTTGCAGTGGCCCCAAAACATATTTGGACTCTTAAGTAACTCTTAATGTGGCCAAAATCACTTTTCTGAGCCACTTTTTCAATTATGGTGGTCTCAAGCTGATTTTTCACAGATGTAAATCCATGAATAAACTTGCAGTAGTTCAATATAACATGTTCCAGAAAGTTTGACAATTACAAAGGGCCCAAGACTTGCCTTATTTTTTCAAGTAAAATGCATTACCATGAGAATCCAGGGAATGTAAGATTTCAGAAATTAATGCTTTTATTCAGCAAGGATGCATTAAATTGACCAAAACTGACCATAAAGACATTTATATAGTTAAAAATGATTTCAATTTCAAAAGAAATGCTGTTCTTCTGATCTTTATATCTAAAAGTTGAACTTCTTTTAACTTGAAGTGCCATCTTAATGTTTTTTAAAAAAAAAAGTGCATTTAATAGACAACATACACTACCGTTCAAAAGTTTGGGGTCTGTAAGATTCAGATTTTTCTGAAAGACGTCAACATGGTCACCTGCATCTTTTGACGACACCTGAGAAGACTTGTTAATTTGCAGTAGAGGCTCATCCTCCACTGACAGCCGTTCATGGACAAAAATCGGCCCAATAGTAGCCTCATCTTCCAATGTGGAATCTAAAAAAAAAAAAGAAACATTCTCAAGGTGCACAGCAATAGCTCAAATAAATTTGGATGCATGTAAAAGTGGAACGATACCATCAGTATCCAGACTTCTGCCCTTCCTCATGGTGCAGCTTGTCTCACAACAACCACACACCTGATCATCTCCGTTTACAGCAGTCCAGCTGTTAAAAACCACAAACAACCATTATTAAATGTTGAATGGAGACTGCTAAACGTGCTTCCAACATTACCCATACCTGTTTGTTTCTTTAACAAATGAGCAGGCCTTGTTCATCATATCAGTGGGACTGGAAGTGGTAGTAGCCTTCAAATGACAAGTGACGTAGATCTGGCCAGAAAAAAAAAATCAATACGGTAAATTCAGATTAACAGATGTCTGATCTGGATCAAGTGTAAATGGAGCAAACTTCACAATAAAGGCCCAGATATATTCATGGCAAAGTTCTTTTTCGTTCTTCACTTAGGTGTTTTAAGTTCGAAATACCTGAGCAGCATTATTTTGTTAGCGTTAACATCCCGGTTAGATGAATACCTTGAGCGCTTTTAATAAAACAACAACATTACAGTAGTGAGAAAACAGCAATTAAGAAAGCATCGGACTACATCTATGTGGATGTTTGCTCCAGCGCTGCACTCTAATAAGGTCACGTTTAGTTCCGAATCACTTTATACAATAGATTGCTCTAAAGCAAACAGCTTTTTAGTAATATGCATTGTCAGTGATGCTTTTAAATTAGAATTACAATTTCAGTTTTTACTATAAAGCAGCTGTCCAGTGTGCTTTTACACGTGTCTGATCTTGACAGACTGAAAAGAAGAAATGGAGAAAATGTCCACAGCAAAGGTGGTGAAATGAACTCCAAACAAACATTTTGGCCTGATTTTGTTAGGAACCACAGCAGTTTGTTCTTCGATTACACTTGAAATACACTGGGGGGCTTAATGGACTCACCATTCCAAGGGAATCTTGCTTAAATCTGAACGCCTCAATCTGAAATTGTAACTTGTCATCCTGTATCCTGGACATGAACCTGGACCTGGAATTTGTCAGCTTTGCATCCATCAAGCATCTAAAGATTTTAGTTAAGAGCATAAACCAACAATAGCACAATAGTAAAGCACTCAAAAGGTCTGTCTGGAAGAGTTGCTCACCCGCTGTTCTCGATGAACGTGTACATGGTGGCAGCTTCCCCGCTGGGGCCCAAAGTAGCTGCGCAGCTTTCCACGAACACCCGCAGAGGAACGTGATTAGCACGCACCACTGAGGCTTCCAGGTTTATGAAATCTCCCAGAAAGTAAGCGTTAGATGGGCGCTCATACCTCCAGTCATCTGTAGGACAGGTTAAGATTAAGAAGATTAGGATTTTTAAGAATTTAATTCTTAATTTCGTCAGATTAAGAATTTAAACAAAATAAAACTAGAAGACTCGGTACCAGTCATGAGTTTGAGGGAGAAGTGTAACTGTTCTTCGCCAGCTTTCGCTGCAACATAGGGAATCCAGGTGGGATGCAACGCATTACTACTCACATTGTGTTTCCTAAAAGTTACAAGAAACCATGCACAGCACGTGGAGAAGCAAAGAGAGTATGACATTTTTAGTGCCATTGCAATTTCAAGAATATTCTTATAATGCTTTACTTAAAGGTGGGGTATGTATTTTTTTTAAAACGCTTTAGAAAACTGAGGCCCTGTCCACACGAATGCGGTTATTTTTTAAAACCGCAGCTTTTTCTACATGGTTTGGCCGTTCGTCCACACGCAAACGCAGCACCAGGTCACTGAAAAGTCTCAACTGTTTGTTTAGGTTGTATTAGTCCAAAATGTCCTTGGCTTTTCAAAGGCCTGCTAGGTTGAAGAGGCATGGATGCGTAGTTGGTTCTCTGGGCGTGTACTTGCATTGGTATCTGGACAAACTCTTGTGATGGAGGTCCCACCATTGCTGAGGCAGGTCTCCTGGATTCAATGAAGTTTTGAAATATGTTGGATGTTACCGCATTTTGATCAAACTGTGCAGGCTCTTGCACTGGCACTGGATGTCTGAAGACGGTATTTTGACTAAAGCCCTGATCTAAAGACAGTTCCCCTTGATTCAATGGTTCAGCACAACACAATAATCCACAAGAAACTATAAAAATAACATCAACAACCACGGAATTTCTTCCCATTGTTGGTCTCTCAATGCATTCCTTTGAGTTTTCAAAGGATGCAACTACTTACCTACCTCTCTTTAATGTTGATTGGCTGGAAAGGTCAGGTTCAATTCTGACTCCGCCCTTTTAAATTTCCCTCCAGCCCATGCCAATTAAGAAGCTGTAGAGCTCTATTCAACTGCTGCCAACTTTACAGACTTGCTTCACAATATTAGTACTTTTTATCTGATCATATGACAACATGAGCAAAAGTATTTTAAAAATATATTTTAAAATAATGTATTGTCATCATTATGGAAAAAAAGAAATTAAGAAAAAAAAGCACATTTATGTTAATTATGCCTCATCTGGATATATTGACATTTTTATAGTGTAATTTAAGGGTTTCATCAGAAAATATTGGAAATTAATTTTTAAAAAATATTATTTATATTAAAATTGGATGCATTACTAGTCATCATTAAAAATGGTTCTTTTATAGTTGCAAAAAGAAATTAGATTCATTTATTTTAATTATGGACATATTGATATTTTTGAAAAAGGGCTTTCACCAGATAATTTATTTAAAATATATTTTTTAAAATAAGACGCATTACATGTCATCATTAAAAAATGATTCTTTATACTTGGATAAGGGTTTTTATTAGATCAAAATTTTTAAATATATGAAAATATTATTTATATCAAAGAAATTATGCTCATCTATGTTAAATATGCATGGAAAAAAAAAAATATATATATTAGTGCTGTCAAACAATTAATCGCGATTCATATATTTCAGAAGAATATGTTGTTTATATATTAAATATATATTTTTAAAATATAAATTATATGAATATAAATATAGACATGTAAATATTTTCAAAATATATACTGTACGTGTGTGTATTTATATATACATAATAAATATACACA